ATTACAAAATTTGAAACATTTCTCAACATGAAGTCTTTTTTTGAAAAGGTCAACTTCCTTGGACAATCTGCAAAAATCCGAAACCTAGTGGTTGATTTGACTCGAAATTTCGAAAATGTTGAGATCGGCGAAAACAATCCAACGAGGGCAGGAGCAATCGTGCGTACTTTTAGAAGATAAAGAAAGCCGGCACCGCAACTAGCTTTCATTCAGTTGGAATTCTTGCAAATGCATTGCTACGAAATCATCCTCCGCATACTGAGAGCAACTTGACTTTTCTAATCAAGCTGTTCATGAATGTGAAATCATAAAATTGTTGTCATGTTCTTTGCAAAATTAATGCCATACGTTCAAAATGTATGCGTATCACTCAATATTTGTAGAACTGCTACTTGTACAAGTAGGACTCAGTTTGATCCAGCAAAGTCACAAACATTCGTGAATGTCTCTGGAACGTGGAATCAGGATACTCATGGAGCAGTAAATGGTGTGCAAGGAAGAGACACCGTGAGGGTAAGTCTTTAATAGTTTGTATGGACCTTTACATTTATACCCGTGCTTGTCAAATCGTGGAAAAAAATTGAAAAAATCGTTATTGTTTTTTAAAACACCTCATCGCTATATAAAGGTTGGCTCGACCGGCGAAACCCAATTGCTGGCCAGTTGCATCTTTGGAATGGCTACAACGGTGTCAGATCAGTTTGGTACTGCCATGGTAAGGCGCAAGTGATTTTATGCAAATCTATATCAATTGTAACATCTTTAGTCTGGCTACGATGGAATGCTTGGCCTTGGAGTCAACCCCAGCAGTGGAATTCCCAGTGACCCTTTTTTGGTGCAGCTTGATAAGAGCAGTAAGCATGAATTTCCAGTCAGCCCTTTCCATTTTAATCATAATCACTTCATTTTGAAGAGACATTGGATCGAACAATGTTTACCGTCTACATGAACAAAAATTCGCTAACGCAAGGAGCAAAAGCAGGAAGCGTGACATATGGTGCCACAGATTCCATCAATTGCCTATCGAACCCTAAATATTACAAGCTATCATCAAATACCTTCATCCAGCTTAAGGTAAATAAAACTTCAATAACATATAATATGATACCAACATTCTTTGACGAAGCATGGAAAAAGCCGAATACGCAGTGTTGTGGTCCATAGCTGGCGTAGCTGAGCAAAAACTGCGCTCTATACTGCACTCTGATACAAAACTTGATATTGGCTCGTATCTGCTGAGACTTACTCAAACTGTGCTTTGTGCACTAAGGTACTAAGACAGTTCTAAAAAGGTAGCTTGTGATATCCCATTAGCTTGAAAAGCTTTTCAAGCTAATGGGATAGCCCACATCTCTAAGCTTTTTTGCCAATTTGGAACTCTGGAATGATTAGTGAGTTCAATGCTTCAAAGCGTCCAGAGATGTTAAAATCTACAAGAAGGCATATTCAGGCAAGACGAGATGAAATTTAAGTATGTCGTCATAAAAAAAAATGAATGCTGATCTCAGAACGGCAGTCCTTATGTACCCTTTTGTAAACAATACATTTCATCTTCTCAATAAACTTTGGCGTTTAAGCATTTTCAAGAACAACAAGCAGTTGGTACAGCGTTGTTCTCCTTTACTGCAGGAAAAACAGAGGTTGAGATCTTTTCGTCAATGTTTTTGCGTTTTATTTTCAAACAGCTTTTGCGGCGAAAGCATTTTGCACATGAAAAGGATTATCGTGGATGACATTTTATACTTCATAGACTCAGGAATCCCCATTTCGTTATGAAAGGCTACTTTAACTACAGGCTTTCTTGCCAATTTCTTTCTTGGCAAAAGCTTGAAGAATGGCGTGTTCGAGCAGCCCTCTAAAGATGGGATATGGCAGGCGTATCCATCCATCTTGGCAGCAGCTGAAGTGGCTCCACCAGTCCTAC